TTTCCCTCTCAAGTCTCAGTGCCCAAGTATTAAGGGCGGCAGGAGTGCTCCTCTGCTTGGTTTCTTCTAGCAGGGCCCATCATCTTGCTGACCCTTTCATAGGGTAACAGGCTTAGATTAGAGGGAAATAGAGGGCTCCACTCCTGCTAAATAAAGATGGATGCTTCCCTTAGGAAGGCTCACAGGCTGCTTCACTAGGAGACCTGTCTACCAGACAGAGTGGCACATTGCCTCAGAGGATCCTGCATAGTTAATGCAGGGAGGGCCCAGCTCTCCACTGGGCCCAGAGTGTGGCCATATGTGTGTTTATCTCTTTGCTTTCAAAGCTCCCATCATTACTGTTTATTACTTCTGGACCCCAGAGTCTGGCTGGGAGAGAGCCAGTTGTGCAGGACAAAATTAATGGCTTTGTTTGGGAGTCTCAGATATGAGAGGGGGGGAGAGAGAGAGAAGGTGAGAGAGAGAGAGAGAGAGAGAGAGAGAGAGAGAGAGAGAGAGAGAGAGGGGAGAGAGAGATGATTTGTGAAAGTGATGCCTCGTCTTGTAAAATCTTACTTACCAAACTAATTTGATGGTCAGGTGGCTTGGATACTAGCCATTGACCCAAGCAAATGTCAGAGGCAGGTGACAATAGATCTGCTAGGAGGAGGCACCAGGAGGAGGCTGCCTGGGGCCCTGAGGCAGGGTTACTCTTAATTAAACTCTTGCCTGATGAGCAATATAATCAGATCATCAATAACTGCTGACAGATGGATACAGGTGAGGTGTCAGCAGGAAGGAAAACTGGGTGCTAATGCCCATCAGAACTCCAGACCTCAGTTTTCCCATCTCTCCTGTTTCTTGGGAATATAGAAATGCCCAAGAGGGCAGGATAGCCAGAGGCATACGCTGCTTGTGTTTGTGGAGTATATGTTTGTCTCTGGACCTGGATACTTCTTTTGTGTGTCTAGGGCAGTGCAGTGGGTCCAGCTGCACACGTTGCACACTGCACATTTCCTGGGCCATCTGCAGCGGTGTCCTTGTATCTGGAAATGTATGTGAGGGTATATGTGTGTGTGGACAGAGTGTATGAGTGCTGCAGTGGCCACTGCATAATGTGCTTGAGAAAGCTGAAGAAGCCTTCAGGTGGGGCTTGGTGTGTGGAGGAGGAGTGGGTGGGCTGGAGATGAAGCTGCACTCCTGCAGAAGAACAGAAGCTCACTTGGTGTCCCAGGCCCCCAGCCGTCTTTCCCTTGTAATAAGGAGGGAATAATGCTATTTCTTATTCTTTATTTGCCCAGAGTGCCTATGATTTTCTTTCTTTCAGAATCCAATTTTCTCTTGACATTTCTGCCTGATGTAGCAAAGCATGACCTTTGTAAGAGGACGTGGCTGGCAGCCTGCTTTCTGCCTGGGGCTCCCCAGATCTCCTGGAAGGCTCTCTGCCTGTTCCTTTCTTGGAAAGGAGCCAGGCTGCCCGGTGCACCTGGGCCAGTCCTGCCTTCAGGATGGCTTGTGCCTACCAGTAGCCTCTTTTACCAGAGGTGTGCTTTATCAGGAACGTACTTCTCCAGGCTCTGTGAGCATGAGGTCCCTGCAGGCTGCCAGTGCTCAGCTTTTGAAGCATCGGTTTTGTTCAATGGAGCACTGAAGAATGCTAGGAACTAAAGGTGCAGCCTGGGAATCTTTCCAAATTTTTGGCAGGATTCCCTCATGAATTTGGATGTGTGTGTGTGTGTGTGTGTGTGTGTGTACACATATGTACCCGAATAAGTGAATGCAAGAGGTCTCATTTCTTAGGAGCCATATGTACTGTTTTTTTTTTTTTTTTTTTTTTTTTTTTTTTTTTTTTTTTTTGTGTGTGTGTGTGTGTGTGTGTGTGTGTATACAATCTCTTATTGGAATCTGGAGTTCTATGATTAGGAGAGGTTAGTTGGCTGGCAGGCCCCAGGGATCCACCTGTTTCTATCCCCCAGTGCTTGGGTTACATGTTGTTCCTGCATACCTGGCTTTTGATGTCCATTCTGGGACTCTATCTCAGGTTCTTATGCTTGTATAGCAAACATTTTACTGACAGAACTATCTCCTCAGCACCCATTGTTCAAGTTTCACTCCCAAGGATGCTATTGTGTAGAGAGAAAAAACAGATAGTAAAAAGGCTTCTACCTGGGTGGTCCGGGCACTCAGATTTGTTACAACATCACACAGGCTAATGACAATCAAGTTCCAGAGACTACTGGCACTGAAACCCATGGTTTTTGATCCCAACCTCTGAGCTTCAAGGCTTTTGGTTATGCTGGGTCAGTGACTCTGTAAGGGTTTGCTGAACTCGTATTCTGCTGAGCAGGAGTGTTTGCTTTGGGGAACTCACCCTGAGGGTTACCTTGAATCATCTTGGTACAGTTCTTGTGTAACCCCAGTTCTTCTCATAGGTGGGTAATAGTAGAAGTTAGTAGGAATAAGTCACAGGGGTTTTGTGACGCAGAACATGAATAATGAATGGCTCAAGATGGCTCTTAATGAACATGTAATATCACACCAGAACTCTCAGATCTGCAGAGAGGTGTGGGACTGCATGGGCCCATTCGGTTATCCTGGAGAGCTCTTTGTGGGTTCAAGGTCTTTGGACAGAGACAGCAATAAACACAGGGAAGAGAACAGAGCAGCAGACATTGGAGATACCTACGTGTAGTCTCTTTCCTTTTTATAGTTGCTCCCTGTACCCTTAGAGTTGGGTTGCTTTACCAACACCATCACAAACTATCTTAGAAAGTTAGCTGGTTTAGGACAGTGTAGGATCCAGCCGTCTTATCACAAATAGGCTGCATCTAATGAAAAGTGGGATGCCCTATTTCTTAACTGTTCTTAGGTTTGAGTATCTATTCCTGTTTTATACTGAGCACATTTTCAATTCTGCAGGTCTCAGTACAAACACATCTCTCCAGCAAGCTATTTGGGTTCACTCTCTAGGTATCTAACAGGCACCTCAAGGCTTCATGTTCACCAGAAGTGGGGAGCTCTTCTTCTAACACACTAGCTTTTATTCATAGGTTATTACTTGTACAAATGATGGGTTTATGGTGACATTTTCATGCATGCATACAACACATGAATTGATTATATCCATCTGCCATTACCTTCTCTTGCCTTTCTATTCTCAGCTACCTGATCCAAGAGGACCATTTTGTTCCCACTGCCCAAATGTGATCTCTTAGTAAGCTTCTTATCTTACTAAATGCCTTACTGGTCACCAGTATATTAATGACTATCTTTGTTGCATGACATAAGACTTGACATAAAAATTATTTTGGCTGATGGTTTCAGAGAGTTCATGGTCTCTTGGTCTCACGTCCTTAAGCATCACATCATGGTGGTGTGTAGAAGGCTGTTCACTTCTTGATAGACAGAAGGCAGACAGTATTACAAGAAGGGGCCAAAGGTAATATATTTCCCAGGACTCATCCCTAGTGATCTACCTCTAGGTAGGTCCCGCCTCCTAACATTTTTTATGACTTCTCAAAATAGTGCCACCAGCTAGAGAAAAAACATTCAAAATACATATCTTTTGGAGGCCATTTCATATTCCAACCATAACCACCACCACTCAATTCACTCTCCTCCTTCTCCAGAGCTAGCTGCAGGTTCTGATAGTGTTTCTCCCAGCACTTATCTTGAACCCATCTCTCCTCTTTTTGTTTTTCATTTTCTTGATTGGAAGCTAGGTAAGGTCCCCTAACTAGCCTGTCAACTTCCAGTCTTGGTCTTCAATTTAAAAAAGGTGGTATTTAGTTTATGATACATCACCACTAAGAACCACCCAATGTTTCCTGTTGTTCTTTGGAGTAACGCCAGTCTCTTCCCAAGGTCTACAAATGTGGCATGAATCCCTCTCCTGCTTATTCCCTGTCAGTCTCTGTAACTGCTTTCTGGTTGAGCTTCTTGGTTCGCATCTCATTAGTGTTCTTTCTTTTCCTAGGTCCCATGTTAACTATTCAGAAGGCTTTTCTCCCAGCACCCAAGTGAAGTAGCCCCACTCCCAATTACTCTTGTTATTTTGTTTATACTATTCTTTCTGCTTATTCTTTGTAATTTGAAGATAAGGTTCCATCTTTCTTGTCAATGGTCTACCCCCTCAGACCTCAGCACAGCCTATATTTGACTCTTCTACTTGCTGCAGAAGTCACCTAAATGTAAGTGCACATGGAAGCATGTGTGTGTGTGTATGTGCACACATGTGTGTATGTAAACAAGAGTCTGTGTTTGCATAGTTACCCATGTGTTTAATAGATACAAATATATACATGTTTGTGTGTGTATGGATATTTATCTAAATGGAACCAGCACTGCCATCCATTCCCATCAGCAAATGAGTACATTGTTCCTGGGTTGCCACTTCATTTCTAGCAGTGCTGAACTACTGCCTTTAAGGGCTGTTATCACACCAAAAGTTGTTTGTTGAGCCTGGCAAAGTAATAACCGTGGGCGTGTTTCTTCTTTTATTCAGAAGACTAATGGCTGCTCCTTTCCCCTGTACATCCTAATGAGAACAATTAAATAGCCATTAGGAGAAGAGATGTGTGAACAAAAGGCTGATGTCTTGATCTCTGGAATGGGCATGTGTTCTCGGGGAGGGGTGGGTGAGAAGAATTTATAAGGAACCTGAGGATTTCCTGCCTGTGTTGATGTGAAGGATGCGTGGGCTTGGTTATCCCCCAAAATATTGTCTAGAGAAGGTTGCCTCAAACAGGCTGCCAGAGCTTTTGTTAAAGGGCAGCATGAGGAGTAGCCAAGAGAATCATACTGTTTCTTGGATGTGTAAAGCCTTGCCCTAGAAAAAGGCTTCAGCATCTCCCTCACACCTGTCCCACGGTCTCAACTATTAGAGACATACCATTAGCAAAATAGGATGAAGAAAAAGAAACACTCCAAAGCCTGCCTCCAGATGAACAAATCCTCCATTGAGGGTTTTGCTGATGCTGGATCTGTCCTTTAACTACCCCTTTATTTGTCAATTCTTGCAGAAACTTGTCAAGTAACCGGCTCACCACACTTTCCTGGCAGCTCTTCCAGACGCTGAGTCTTCGGGAATTGTAAGTTCGGAATTGAAGACTTTGTCCAGGTGGCGAAGTACTGGTAATGGTCGGGTGGGGAAGAGTGTCAAGCATTGGAGGCCGGGCTGGTGGCTGGGCTGTTGGGGTTTTGTGGCATTGAGCATACCATGTTCAGTGATGGTGATCCACCTCCATCCATGGACTTGACTTTCAGTGCTTTATCTAAGAAGACTCTGTTTCAAAAGACAGAATCTCCTTTTTTAAATTAGCCTTTAGTTTTGTCATCTGCAGGTAATTAATAGTAACAGTTTTAATATCCATAATAATAAAGATACCAAGCAATTTCTAATCAATGATATTTGCTATACATCCCTTTGTTGCTTTATCACATGTGCTTTTGCTTACATGATCTTAGGTTTACGGTAATAAGAGTCATGGTATTTACTGCCTTTTTTTAAGCCCTAGAAAACCACTCAAGAATCAGCTACAGTTGCATTGCTAAGGACTTGCGTAATGGATACTTGAGCATGGCTTTCCAGCTTCAGATTGTAAGGCCATTACCGTGCTCACGATCTCCTATCAACTTATTTGGCTTGAAGTCTAGGCATTCTGAGCATGGGAGAGGGCTTGTATTTATTTTATCTGTGTGTGGACTTCTTAGCTTCATTACATTCCAAGGTTGATCAGTGCACTCCTACCCCAGCCAGCCATTTTGTGCAAACAGATGTTGGCTGGATGAGTGAAAATTCATGACCACTGCTAGAGACTGGAGAAAATAACTCATGTTGCTGTGTGAGTCATCAGGGTCATCCCTGTGCATGAAGGACAGTGTATTATGTTGAGGGAATAAATCAAGGAATACATTGAAAAGCAATTGAGGCATGGATGGAGTTAGGGAATCTGAATTCTGGAGAGACTGCTCATGTGTTCCTGTTTACTTGGTGACTCAGATCCAAATTCCTTGTCTGTGATCATAGTGTTTATCAGGAAGCAATGACCCTGGACCTCTGCCTTGGCTATGGGCCTTTCACCTCCTCTTTTCACCTGCCCAGACCCATGTTCATGGATACATTATAACCTTGGTTTTTCAGATCAGCTGATAGAAATGAGACTATTTACATCTCAGTAACTTATCACCCTTGACAACTTTGCGTATTATCCTTGTGGCCAGACTGTTCACATAATCCTTTCCAAAGCCATCCCAGGGATGGATAGAGAGGGATTGTCTCTTTGAAGGTGTTGCTAACTGGGATTCGTGGTTGTCTCAGTACCTGGAAGGTAAAAACAGAAGGATCAATAGTTTTAGTTTGGCCTCAGACACATGAGTTACAGGCTAGTCGGTCTGGGCTGCACAGTGAGACCTAGTCTAAAAAAAATGAACAATATTATTGTATATTCCTTTCCCTTCTTAGAATTGTGCACCTCCCTGCCAGGCTCCTACTCTGATATTCCGGTATGGACATTAGTAGGCCTAGTGATTGGAGTTCTTAGTCCCATTTGGTTGAGATAGAGATGGGCACCAATAACCTCTTAAAATAGCAAAGGAAGGTAAACAAATTTGTGTTTATAAAACATTCTCCCAAGCAGACTATATCACAGATCTCTAATATCAGGGCTGTTGTGCTTGCTGTATTCTATTCATTCCCACCTTGAACTTGATATAACTCAATGGAGGAACTTAGGGGTAAGTTGGCATGGCCACTACAATTATTACTATCACCGATTTTTAAACAATTCCTTTATGCCAGGCACTGTGACAGTAATCTATTAAATTATGTATGATATTTAACATAATCCTTAAGAAAACTTTGTAAGGTAGGAATTCTCACTAGCATGCCACTTTGGAGGACACTGAGTTGTTTAGCAATGGAAGAGTCTTGTTTCAGGTCACCCATTAGATAAGCAGTAGGGTACAGACTCAAAGCCTGGATCACCGTGCTTAACTGTCCTCCACTGTCTTTCAGCCTATTTAATATATTCTGCAAAAAGTGTGTGGCTATGAGTCTTTGCTAGGTGTCTCTCTATATCAGTTGCATTTTTCATTGCTGTTGCATGGGTAAGTTACAACCTTGCCTTTTCAAAACAGTGGGTAGAAGTGAGACTGACAATACACACTTAAGAGAGGAAGGCTCTGTGTTAGCTTACAGCTTGAGAATATATTATCCATCATGGTGAGGAAGTCATGCAGCAAGAGTGTGAGAAAGTTTCTATAGTGAGGAAGCAGAGAGAGATGAATGGTGATGTCCCCCCACCCCATACTGTTTCCCTTTTACTCAGCCCAGAACCCTAACCCATGTAATGGTGCCATACACATATAGGGCATGTCTTATCTCCTCAACTAACCCAAACTCCTCACTGATATACTCTGAGGTAGGTCTCCTAGGTGATTCTGAATACAGCCAAATTAAAATGAAGATGAAGCAGGTACTAACTAGTTTTCTGTTTCTGAGAAAAACACCATGAACAATGTGACTTATAAAAGGAAGGGTTTATTTGGGGCTTATAGCCCCGGAGGGATAGGAGTCCATCACCAACATGGCTCAGAGCATGACAGCAGGCAGGCAGCCATGACATTAGAGTAACAGCAGGAAGCCAAGAGAAGGGTTTATTTGGGGCTTATAGCCCCGGAGGGATAGGACTCCATCACCAACATGGCTCAGAGTATGACAGCAGGCAGGCAGCCATGACATTAGAGTAACAGCAGGAAGCCAAGAGAACATACTGGGGATGATAGTGGCTCTTTGAAACCTAACCCTACCCTAGTGACACACCTATTCATACAAGGCCATACCTTCTAATTCTCCAAAACAGCCACCAATTGGGGACCAAGTTTTTAAATGCCTGAGGCTTTCCCAAAGCCTCATTAAAACCACCACAAAGCATAATGACCTCAAACTGATTGGGGACACAAGGTTTGTCTTTTTGAATCTAGTTCTTCACAATTCTAGCCCCTTAAAATAGGGGAGGCCAGAAACAGTGTCCCCCAAGAAGATGTCAGGGTCTGTTAGAGGCTGAATTATTGAGAAAATGTTCAGTGTTTTTTTCTAAGAAATTGTTGTATGTGAAATCAATGGTGTGCTGCCCCGGTGACCTGCTTCATGGAGATTTAGAAACAGTTGTTCTGTGGATATATATTTAAAGAAAATGTCACATTTCTCCCAGAGGATCTTGGGATTCTGCATTCATCTTTGCCTGGGATCAATATACCGGTGAGCTAGATGTAACTTATGGAGGAATGAAGACATGCCTTGCAGAGTGAGTCAGTATGTGAGTGCCACCATATCCAAACAGTATTTCATTTCTGTCATAGTGTTAAATCAGAAAAAAATTATATTGGTGGGTGAAGAAGCCCCTCCCTAAGGAGCAATCACCTTGGTGGGGGTCTATTTTTTCAGGAAGAATTGAATGTTGAGAGTGGAAAATTTATCTTTGGGCTGGAGGGGGCTGTGCATTGGCTCTTAGCTGTGGCTATGATTAAAATCCAAACAATCGCTTTTCCTGGCAAATGGAAGAGGGGGTAGGATTCTCTTGTCTGACTTCTTGATTAGTCCACATGGCACCATCTGCCATGAGCCATCTAGACTGCCAGGGTCTACTTAACGGGGCCTGTGGGATGGGGTTTCCGGATGTGTCCAGTGTTGTCAGGAAGAATTTTGGCCTTGTAGGAGAGGGACTCAATGTGCTGTGGTAGCCAGGAGAGTCACGAGCCAGACAGGCGAGGCTTCCAGTGAATGTCTGCAGAAACAGACAGGGTAAATGGGGTAGTTAGCCATATCTTGGCACATTTCCTTCTTCCATGAAGGCTCTTTTGAGGGTCTTTGCCATGCCCCAACCAACCTCCCTCCCAAAGCACAATCTTTGATGTAACAGTTGATGTTGTAGTTGACATAGTTGAGGCTCCTTATTTTCTAATAGGGTTGAATATGTACTGCATCCCATCAGCAAAGGAGAAGGAAGACACTCATTGAGTAATGAATACATACAGGGTTCTGGCTCATCCTTGAAGTTACCCTACAAGGCAGTTGCTATTATAACCCGTTTTGCAAATGAGGGATTCAAGTCTGAGCCAAGTCATATAAACAGACCAGGATCACATAGCTGGCAAACTGGTCATCTGGAGGCTAATATTATCATTTTTAGGATGACCACCACCTGAAGGCACTGTTTGCAAAATCCATTCTCTTCCAGCCCCTAACTTAGTGCCATAACCTGAATGTCCTTTCAAGAGCCAAGATAGCTGGCTCCCCTTATTGGAGCCATAGAAAACCCAAATCATCTCATCTCTTTCTGGGTGCCAAGACTCTTCTTGTACTTTGATTTTTGTGAGATTGGAGGGAGGGCTTTTGGCAATCACCTGACTCAGTCTCTCCCCAGCTCAGGAAGGGCCCTTCTTACTGAGCGAGCCAAAAGTATCTTCTGAGCTTTGCTATGGAGTAGCCAGAAGAAATTCACTGGTAGATTTGATAGAGTCTGGCTTGGCATTGTACTGTAACCAGGAGTTTCTGGTTAAGGCAAGATGCTACTATTTTTTCCCTCTGAAACTGGAACTGTCTGTCTTAAACTCAGCAAGATTCTGAGAGATTATCTTTGAGATAAAGGATGAATTAGGAAGAAAAGATGCTTGGGTTCTGAATCCCATGGTGCACCTTAGGCAATAGCAAGGGTCACCAGAGGTCTATCATCCCACAACACAGAAACCTTCCAGAAATATTCTGAGGATCATGAATGTATCTTGAGCAGACTTCTCTTCATACTCCATAGGCATGGAACAGACATGATTGAAATAGATTGGAATATTTCATTTTCTTAAAGCAAAGTGGTAATTACCTCTGTTATAATTTGCAGATTTAATCGACTTGGTAAATATGAACTCAGGGTCATAGAAGGCTGAGCTGATCCTGTGCCTGTCCTTCCTCCTAGTCTTGGCTGTGATCACTTTGAAAGTTCTCAGGCAAGACACCAAGTAGTTGCATTAGCAATGCTATTGCTGCTGTCGTAATTTCTGGCTTCTTTATGACTCCCTTTTAATCCACAAAGCA